TGATAGCCTCCAATACTTCAATAGAAAAGAACTACACTTGTTAAACCCACCCGAAAGTGTTATTTTACTTATAGGCGGAGCCTGGTGGGCGGAGCCAGCCCCTGACTTCTTCTAGGTCATGGATACTCTAGCAGTGAGAGTTCCCTTCCATATATGGTACCAACGGACCAATCAGCATCAGGTTCAGCCCAGCTTTGGCACCATATATGGCACCAACTGAACAATCAGCACCAGATTCAGACCAGTTTTGGCACCATATATGGCACATCTGACCAATCAGCATCAGGGTCAGCCCAGTTTCTCCACCATATACGGCACATCTGACCAATCAGCACCAGATTCAGACCAGCTTCAGTACCATATACGGCACATCTGACCAATCAGCACCAGATTCAGACCAGCTTCAGTACCATATACGGCACATCTGACCAATCAGCACCAGGTCCAGCCCAGTTTTGGCACCATATATGGCAACGACTGACCAATCAGCACCAGATTCAGACCAGCTTTGGCACCCTATATGGCACATCAGACCAATCAGCATCAGCCCACGTTTGGCACAATATAAGGCACATCTGACCAATCAGCACCAGGTACAGCTCAGCAGCCAATCCTCGTCATTTATTAATTGTCTTTCGGCAGTGCAGTTTGTAACACCGGCATTCAGACTTTCCCTCTCCATCTGCCATACTCCAGTGATTTGATTGGTGGCTGGGAGGGAACACAGACAGTTCTCATGAAAGACACTTTAATAGACGAGATCCCATAAAGGAGAACTCTGAATCCCCTCCACAGTCAGCGCTCGCCATGATTTCCGTGTCACCTTTTCAGATAACAGATAAACGGCCCTCCGGCTGCACCGTCATTGGTCAAGGCTGGAACCATCCTGTCCAATAGAGAGTCATGGGGCATCTTCTGGGACCAGAGCGCCTCCTGCTGGCCGGGCACAGAGGTCGTAGCCTGAAAGAGACAAAGACGCGGCTCGGAGCGGAGGGACGGTGTATTCCCAGCGCGGACACACTGCTTGTGAT